AAGCTAAATGTTTTTAAACAGAGTACGAAACGATTTGCATGCAACTGCACGGAAAAGCACATTACTGTTTTTCCTCCAAGGGATATGTGGAGGCAGCGACTGGAACTGCTGCATTTCCTACAAAACAACACAAATCATTATGCTTTCTGTTACAAACAGGATCTCGAATTATTCCAGCTAGTCAGATCTACTGTAGCTTCTGTATTGACTGACACGTTCGATTAAACAGTTTAAAAATATTTATCGTTGGAATAAAGCGTTTAGCCTGGTGTGACTGGAAATGTTCATGTTTAACAGGGTATTGTAGCATTCAGGTGTGCACTACAAGTGTGTAAAATACCGAAGGCACAACACATCCAATACAGCTACATGTGTATCGATTAGATAAAAACCACTATATTCTAATGTGTTTCTTACGATTTTCATTAATTAACGTATTATTTTTCTAAAACAACTTAATTAACATGCGAACAATTAATCCAAATCTTTATAGGTTCTGTTGTTGTAATTGTTGTGATGCAACGTAGCAGAAACCAAAACGGTTTCTTTTGCGCATGTATCATGCGCATCAAAAGAGCTAACCTAACTCGTAGTTTTAGCAGAAATTGCTTTCAATAAACAGCAGGCCTACAGTGTTGTCGTATCAAACCATTTCTGCCTTGGAGAGATCTAATATCGCCTAGTCTGAGTTTTCTTTTGGCAAGATGCATCACGTTTTCCCAACCACAGCATTCGGGAGGTACAGGAGCACATGTACAGTATTTAGACGATCAGGTTTCGCAGTATCAAACGGTGTTTTCACCAGGACAGATAGCGCATAATTTATGTCAATAAGATACTGCACGTGTAAAGAAATTAATAAAATCTTTACACTTACGTTTAAACTCCCATTATTTAGTGCGAATCGTGTCCTGTTCGAAGACACTAAACTGAAAACACAAAGCAGCAGATCTTAAGAATTAAAAAATCACTTAAACTAAAAAATTACAAGTTTCAAGAATTAGTTAAATTAGTTACAAGTGACATTTTTACTACGAATGCAAGAACATAATCACAACACAGACTCTGGAAAATAATGAAAAGAACTTCAAGTCTAGGTAGATACTTCCAGTTTGGATAAATTCACACGCTTGACTTTGTGAGCAAAGTTCACGAAGTGTTTGAGAAAGAAAGAATAAGATACACATACGGAAAAGAGATGTTTTCATTCTTACAACACATCAGTGTCTTACCTGCTGCAACAGAGCTTTTCCTCGATGTTAAAGGAATACACGCGTTGGCTGTGTAAAACAGATAAGAGCAGCCTTGGAAAATAAAAGACTCACATTACAAAATGCTATTTAGCTCCCAACGAAAATACTTGTTTTACCTCTTTCTCCTGCAAGTTATAGACTACATGATTATATTACATTTTATCTGTTCTAAAACAAAGGAAAGATAAAACTAATGATAAAAAGACGCGGAACAAACTCACTCAGCTCCCTTCTCTCTCGCAGAACCCGGCGGGCAGGTGTGTGTGGGGGGGGGGCTGGTCTCCGAGTGATGTAATTCGAGCGGGCGTGGTTACAGACTGACGATGCAGGTAGCTTTTTTTCCTGGCTTTTTTCGTTCCTCTGGTGGAAGAAATGGAGCATGTTTTCAAAAGACCCCCAGGAGTTACAAGTTTCAAAATCCTTTTCCCCCCCCCATGGCCATCAGGGTAATAACAGTTAGTACATGTTATGTGATAGTGAATGAAAGAATTTAGAAATATGTAGGCAATCTGTGGAGTCTAAAATTCTCTTTGCAGGACACTTACTGTTCTATAACCTGATTTATCCTAATGCTGCACCAAGAAGTCAGATTTTTCATCTGAAAAAGTTGATCATAAACTCAATTTACTACCCTTGTACTTCTTATTAGTCATGTACATTTTAGATGTTCCAAAAACATGAGAATGTTGAAATGACAGGACAGTATTTGATCCACGTAGCCCTTTTGGCATCAGTTTGATTTGATAATCTCATGCAGACATTGCTCGAAAGATGACCGGCTGTTGGTTTCCACAAAATGGCTGGATTGCCTGTGCTATTCACCCACAACCCTTGGTGTAAAGAACTTTTAAATACAGGTCCCCATAACATCCTTTCATGTTTCCCTTGGGTCGCGTCAAAGTAGTTCACACTGTATTACTGCCACTTAATTTTAGAACTGGTTAACTGAATCAGCAGGAGGTACTTAAGTCCTTAGCATCATTTTAACACTACTGTACCGTCCTGAAGTAAATATTATATTCAAATAAATTATATTCAGCCTCAACAAAAGAGGACGTGGAAGAATATTTGTAAGA